TCTGATAATCACAGATTAGAACTTCAGTAATACTCCTCTAGTTAATTAGTTTATTCACTAGGCACAGATTAATAACTGATGAGCTACAAAAAGTTGCTATTGTCTGAATCAGTCACCAAGTAACTAACTTGGCCGTTCAGGCAGGGAGAAGTTTTCTTTTCTGAAAGGTGACAAGTAGCTATGTAATGACTTCTATTATTTTCTCAATAAACTCAGAGAAAATAGGACACTGCAGCTAGAAAAACACAGAAAGAGAAATTAGCTGCTACTGTCATTAAGGATTCAGAGACTGATAAAGAACAGTTGGTGCAATGCAGCTGGAGAGGCTTTTCAGAGTAAAGTGATTATTCTCTGGCCATTAACAAATTATTTTTTCCTGGACTGAAAGACCTGCACTCCTCCAAATAAGCTGGCTTTGCTATGAGGAGCACACTGACTGCCAGGGCAGGCAAGAGCCATTGCCCTCTTGGCCCTCCTGGTGGCCACTACATTTCCACCTCTTTGTTTCCATGCCGCAGGAAAAGCACAGAATAATTAAAAGGCTGAAGCACATGCAGACACTGGAAGGAGACTGGTTTTCAAAATTAGCCTGACCAAATGAATTTGGAGCTGCACCAGAATGCTCAGGGACCTGCCCTTTGCAGCCTCACTGAAGCTTTAGTGAGGAGTCACAGCAAACTTCCCTCACTTCTCTTGTCATTCAGAGCTCACCCCCAGTCATCAGCTCAGAGATAACACAAAGATAAGACATCTGGGGACACAGTCAGTCAGTCCTGAGGCTTGTTCTGACATCTCTGTGCCTTCCAAGGGGGGGTGGGGGGACCAAAACCCATACCCAGCTTCTCCTCCAAGTCAAGAGCAGCTGCCTTCCTTCTGCTAGAGTGGCTGCTCTCTAGCCACTCTAAAGGGAGTGGGAGCAATACAGAGACCTGGAAGCTGCTGAGATGAAGGACACCTTTTTTCTGAAAGTGTAGGGGAAACAGGAGACCTACCCCAGACCCTTTGTTTAATTCTTGAGAACATTTAGCCCTCTGATATCTTTAAGAAGCATTTCCAACAACTACATGTGCAAATTGAGAATGGTGATGAGTGGTGCCCCTCTCAGGTCCATACTGGGACTGGCATCCTTTCATAACTTCATCAATGACACAAGCAGTGGGATCAAGGGGACCCTCCACTCTTGTGAGATCCCACCTGGAATACTGCATCCAGCTCTGGGGTCCTCAGCACAGGAAAGACATGGACTCATTGGAGCAGGTCCAGAGGAGGGCCACGAAGATAATCTGAGGGTTGGAGCACCTCTCCTATGAGGACAGGCTGAGACAGCTGGGGCTGTTCATCCTGGAGAAGAGAAAGCTCCAGGAAAACCTTACAGCATCTTCCAATACCTAACAAGGACCAACAGGACAGGCTACAGGGACAGATGTTTGATGTTTTAGCAGGGCCTGTTGCAGTAGGACAAGGGGTAATGGTTTTAAACTAGGGTCAATTTAAACTGGACATAAGGAAGAATTTTTTTACTGGGAGAGTGGGGAGACACTGCAACATGCCCAGAGGTGGCAAATGACCTATGCCTGGAAACATTCCAAGTCAGGTTGGACAGAGCTCTGAGCAACCTAATCTAGTTAGATGTCCCTAATCTAGAAGATGTCCCTGCTTATTGCAGGGAGGTTGGACTGGATGACCTGTAAGGTTCCTTCTAATCCAACTATTCTATGATTCTATTAACTAGGAAATACAAAAGGATGCTGGAAACAGGTCCTGCTCAGAGGGATGCAGTCACTAACACCCAAAGCCAGCAAGTGTCTGTGGAGCTGCAACTCACATAAGGGTCCCCAGGACACCCAGCCACCCGCAGGAATGGCAAAATCCTGCAACTGTGACCCTGTAAACTCACCTCATCCATGTTAGAGCACTGCTCTGTACACCGAAGGACAACATGGATAGAACTGGGTGGGGGTGGGAAAAAAGGAAGGCCAGAACTAACAAGCTACATTAAATCACCCAGCAGAGCAGCTCCTCCACAAAGTGGCCTATTTACAGAGTAGCTCAGTGCCCTGGGAGGGATGGGCAATATTGCAAAGCCAGGAAATTCCCTAGGAGAACTGAGACAGGCTAACAAAGATCCACGCAGCCTAGGACCTCTCATACAGCCACCTCTTATTTGAAATCTAGAGTCTGCTGGGAGGATTTAGGCCTACAGCTTTGAACATAAGATAAGGAAAACTTTTTCATCCTGAAAACAGACTGTGAAACTCAAGCAATGCTGGGAAAGTGTTTCACTGTATTGTTATTCTGTAGATGCTGTTTCTGGAGGCAGGACCCAGCACAGCCTGATCTCAAAACAAAGCCATCCGTGGCTAGCGCCTCACATCACCAACCATCTCCTTCCTCTTGAAATAAAATAAAATAAAAGCAAGTACCCCCATAAATCATTCATCCATCCCAGTTTCATAACAAGAATATTTGTCAGCTCCCATTTTACGTCCCTTTCTCTGTCTGCCTGTTCTACAAAGCCACCATTTCAGCTGCCTGTGCATACAGACCAGCAAGCACACAGCACCACAACAGCTCCCACACTCCCATCCTCCTGCCTCAGAGTATGGCCACCTCTCTTCCACAAACCCTCACCTGCACTGCCATACTGCCATACATTTTTTTTCAGCGGATTTTTAAAAATATCTTTTTTTTTTTTTTTTATCAGTATCTCTGGGGCACCCATCAGAGGTACTTCAGCTACCGTAACAATCACATGATTTATGTAAAAGTAATTGAGGTTAAACTATCTGCCACATCAAACTCTTCACATTTGGCCCCATCTTTAGGACCTAGAAACATCTGAAATAAATAAATCCATGTGTCATTTAACAGGGTCTGGGCTTAATTAGGATCATTCTGGATTTTATGGGAAAAGCTTTGTCCTGGCAGCTTTACATAGCTAGTCTATCACTTGCAAGGTTATCTGCTTTTTTTTTCCTTTAGTACCTACATCAAAATACTTTTCCACACAGCTTTTCCATTTTTTTTTTTCCATCCTCCAACCAGCCGGATGACAACCCCTCCTTATCTCTGGCTGTCTTCCATGCTAAAATAAGAATGCCGTTGTTAGGCCGAGGGAGCTGCACCCTTCCACCTCCGTTCCCTCCCGCCGCACGCTGCTGGCTGCGCAGGAATGCCCCAGCTCCCATCTGCTGGGCATTTTCCTGCCACACTGTTGCAGTTTACCCTTCAGCTATAATTTCTATTTCTAAATCACACCAGGCCTCTCATGCCAGGCGTTCTGTAGCCTCGAGTGCCAGCCTGTGTCCTGAAGAGCTGGTGATCCCCAGCCCATCTCCAGCGGCGCTGCTTCCCTGGCTGGCCGGCACGAGGGCGAGCACGCAGCTCGAAGGATTCCATCAGCAGGAGGGAAGGACTGGATTAGAACAGGGCTGGGATCAGAGATTGATGAGTTGCTGTGAGGCTGCTAGGTCTGTAGGATTGGCTCCAGCAGCAGTGTTTGAATGTATCCCCTCGGAGCAGAGAGGTACCACCTACCTTCAGACTGCTGTGTGCAAGGCAGCTGGTGGAAAGTAAGGGGCTTGAGCTGGGGTCTGAACACACAGCCCTGTACAGATGAGACCTTGGCAGGTCAGGCAGAGATGAGGAGAGAGGGAAACATGGAATGATTTGCCCAAAGCTACACTGGCAGCTTGAGTCAGAAGCAGAAACGGGAGCCAGATTTAAAAAAAAATTAGTTCCTCATGCAGGAGATGAGCCAGCAGCCTTTGTTACATCTAAATGCATTTTTTCCCCTGTAATTCATACTGCTGCAGGCTCTGCAAAGTGAAGTAAAGCATTCTGAAGTTGTAGGGTGCTCAGTGTGACCTGCTGATTGCACATGCCAAGTCTGCTACATGACCAGATCCATTCTCCAGTCCATGCCTACAATGCAATCTGTGCATGTTGCAAAAGCTTAACATTTGCTTCTTTTTTTTTGGTAGGAAGTGACCAGGACCCTGCAAAACCCATCACTGAGGTGATTTCCAGCCTGACCCAGATAGCTCTGGCTGCTGGATTGTCTCCAGAATTTAGTGTATACACAGGAACTCAGCAGCGCTCTCCAGTCAACTCAAAGAGTTATTCCCTCTTCAAATTTGGCTTCAGTCGTCTCTGAAGGTGAAAAAGACTTCAGCTTCCCCCATTGGAGCTCCTCACAGAAATACTATAAAATTCATCAAATATGCCAAGGACAAAATAGTGAGGATGCATTAATTGATCAGGTTGCTCTAGCAGAGCAGTGCAGGAGACCACCCTGCCTATCAGCAGCCTCCTCTGCTAGTTACTGTAGTTACATCTGATTAACCGGGGCCACTCACGGCGTCGTGAAATGGAAGGAAAGGCTTTTCAAATTTACATATTAAAAAAAACCAAACGGAGGTGCGCTGATTTCTGTCCTATGGAGTGTTTCAGACATAACATTAGTAATCAGTAGCGTATTTGCGAGGAAATTTTTACTTTGAATGCCAAGCCGATTTGCTAATGATAAATGACATGAAAGGTTACTTAGCAAAAGGAAAAACATTTCCTTATCAAGTTTGAACGGAAGATACCTGAAGAATTAATGGGCAACCAGATACTCTTTCCTCTTTAACAATACACTCTCATTAGACAATATGTATACTTTGAATCCCGCATTTGAATAATTTTTTCTTTCTAGAAAAATAATTCTGATGGAGAACGTGGGAGAAAACTACCATCAACAGCAGTAAATGAACCAAAGCTGAACCAATCTCTCAAAAAAGAGGTGTGTTGGGGTGAAATGAGAGAAGGAGAATAACTGCCCTGCAACTCCTGCCCAGGGCGCTTGCACCCCGCAGCATCCCCCCGGAGGGATGCAGAACTTCTGGAGCTCGACACTTCACCCTGGCATTCACCGCCACGTACGCCCGGACCGCTGCGACGCCGGCGCAATGACCCACGCCCCGCGACAGCCTCATCCAGAAAAAGCCATGAAGGGAGCCGCAGGTGACAGTCCCTCCGCCTGGCACACTCCGCCAGGAAGCCGGGCGACAGCGGGAGGGATTTCTGCCCCAACTTCGGAAGGGTAAATTCTCCTCCTGCTTCTCTCCTGTGACCGGCTACGCGAGGGACCCCAAATCATCCCATTACCGCCCATCTTGAAATCCATCCTGCACGTTTCTAATCTCCTTTCCGCGGAGCGCGGCCCGGGCGCCGATCGCCGCCGCGGCCGTGCCGAGCGCGCTGCGCCGCCCGTGGGGCCGGAGCCGCGGGGGGCGATGCGGGCTCCTCCCCGCGCACCCACGGCTGTGATTTTGGAGAAGTTGCGCAGGCAGGAGAAGGAGGAGGAAGGGCGGGGGTGGGGTGGGTGGCTCTGCTCGTGCGGTCACGGTCTCGCCCCGTCCCCTTCCCCTCCGCGCCCCCCCCACCGCCGCAGCCCCACTGCCGGGACAACCCGCACAAAGCCGCCGCCACCGGGATCGCGCTGCGCCCGCTCGGCGCCACCAGAAACAATAGTCACGGGCCGAAGCGGGGACCGCGGGGCCGCCGCCCTCCCCGCGGCACCGCAGCGCCCGGCCGCCGGTGGCAAGAAGGCTCGGGGGGGTGGGATTCCCGCAAAACGCCGCCGCCCGGCCAACCTGTCACCGCTCCACCCGCCCCGGGCTGTCGGTGCGCATCCGCTCCGCGGCACCTACCTCCGGTGGAGGGTGCGGCAGCCCCTAGCTGGGCTCCATGGGGCCGCAGCCGCCGCCCGCTCTGTCAAGCGCGGCCGCCGCCGCCGCCGCCGCCAGGGACGCGCCGCCCTGCCCTGCCCGGTACCGCGTCCCGCTCCCCCCGCGCCGGGCGGGCCGGGGCGGGGCGAGCGCCGGGGGCGGGCCCGCCCAACCTGCGCCACGCCCGCCAGCGCCGCCCCCGCCCGCCCGGGGAGCGCCCGGAGCCGCGCCGGGAGCCGCGCCGGGAGCAGCGCCGAGCGCCGGGAGGATGCTGCGGCAGGCAGCGCCAGCCCCTTCGTGCAGCGCTCGGGTTTTTGCTCCCTGCCTGCTTGAAGTTTTGACCTTGTCTCCTCTGCGTTTATCTCGGATTGACCACGAGTCTGACTTCCTGTTTTTCTTTATTCCCCCTCCACCTCTTTGCCCTTTTTAATTCCTCCTCTCGCCCGCCCCCGCCTCCCCCCCTCGTCTTTTCCATCCTCACTTTCCCTTGTCCCCGTTTTCCCATCTGACTCTGAATATCCCAAGCCTCTTGACCTCCGTCTCTGGGCTTTAAAACGGTTTTGTCAAGGGCAAAAGAGTTTTTTGTAGGTTTCAAATCGCTATTAAGTGGCGCCAGCAGCTTATTGGAAGGTGCAGTGCATTAAACTAAATCCATGGCTAGTATTACATAATATGCCCTCGAATGTACATAAAAGATAATTGTAATTCCATCTGGATTTCTGTTGATATTAACAAACCGCTCAAGATTTCCTCTTGCGGTTTAATGGGCTTTTCAAAACCTTTGACTGGTGCTGGATCAATCAGATTATGACTTAAGAAAGGGTAAAGCACACACACTCATGACATCCTAGGAATTAGTGAAAGAAGAAAAAAAAAAACTTAGTAGGTCATCTGCCTAATCCATCTTCCAAAAGAGAGTAGGAATGTCCCCCATACAATAATTTATGGGCATTTGTCTAGTTTTCTTTCAAATGCTCCAAATATGTGGCTTCCTCATTGCCCATAGGAATTTAGGTCAAGCTGCCTGAGAGGGAATTTTGTAGCATCTTGGGATTTAAAATCCACTACTGTTATTGCAAGGTGGTTTGTTTGGGTTTTTTTCCCCCAGACAGCAAAACTGTACAGTTGCAGTTGGTCATTTATTTCTTTCCCATCATCATGGAAGATTTTGGCCATCACTTTCCCTAGGTTGAGAGCCCAGGGACATGCACAGCTGAGAAAATGTCAGCTTCATGCTCAGTGTGGCCAAAAGAGTGACTCAAATGTCAGGACTTGTTAGGAGAGCAATGAAGAGGAAAAGATTTTACACTGGAAAATGTGTGCTGGACCTGTGCTCTCAATACTGCTGGAATTCCAGTCTCACCTTCTCAAAAAGGACATAGCAGAGCTGTAAAAGATTCTGAGGAGGCCAGCAGTGATAATCCATGGCTTGAAAGGGTTTTGTAGTTAGGTGCATGCACACTGGCAGGAGGCCCCAGAGGGGAGATGTGAAGAGGTTCCTCAAATCTCGAGCAGCATGGAGAGGGTGGGCAGGGACTGGTGGCCCTGGCTTCCAGCACAAAAGGGAGAGGCCATTAACAGAGCACCTGACTGTACAGAGGTGATTCTTCATGCAAACACAGCTGTGGAGACCTTTGCCATCTGACAGCAGGCAGCTGATGTCATTTTGAGGGGGAAAATGAATAAATTAACAGGAGAGAAATCCACAGAGAACAACCAAATCACAGCTTGCTCAGAAAGGTCCCTGCAGGACAAATGGCTCATGGCTGGGCTTGCTCTGTTTTTGCCCTTTCCCCTTGGTGTGTGTTGATAGTCACTGCTCACCTGCCAGCAGTGAATACACCTCTCAGATTTCATGTCACACCTGGGTTAGTTTTGTGCTCCCCACAGCTTTCCTAATGCCCTCACTGCATAGATTTGAGTAGTAAAAGGGATGAGTGGCTTTCAGTGGGAGAATGTCACTGCTGAACCAACTTGTGGCATATCATGGAGTTGGAATCATCAAAACCCACTGAAAAAAACATCATTATGCATTGAGTCAGAGAGAGTGCTGGTTGCAAAGAAGTTTCTGTCAGTTTTAAAATGTGACAGAAATAATCAAATCTAGCTGTGGCCTGGGGACAGTGACCTTAATTTAAAATCAATCAAAAATCCCTCTCTCAGTGGCAGCTGATTGTCCCGTGTGCTTTCAGACTGATGCCCTCCCAGGCCTGCCATTGTCAGTGCTATTATACAAGTGGGTAAGCATTGTGTTGTCTCCTTGTTTTCCCTCCCATGTCTTTGAAGCTGAGATAGCATGGTCTCAAACTTCTCCATGTTTCTGGCAGAGGAATTATTTCTGTGCATTAATTTATAAATCTGTACATGTATGCCTCAGTATGGCTGCTTTATCCATGCAGCTTTCTCCAGAAATCTGCTAGTTCAATATTGTATCTTGGTACAAGAAACTAGCTCTGGTGGGGTGGGTTGCCACACAGGAGGCAAACTACAGCAAGAATGAAAATGAAGGAGCCCAAATTATGTATGTGAATGACCTTGGTCAAGTGACTCATGGTCGTGATCTTTATAGGGACTGATCCCATAGGTTGTTTTCACACTGTTTGTGCAGGATCATGTAGTCAGGGGGATCAGGATACTCACCATTTGCCTTTGATGGTGCTCCACCTCCACCTAAATCTCAGCACAAATTCACGTATGTGTGCTCCTTAGCTCCCATGTAATCAGTATTCTAAAGTTGGGTGTCTCAGGTAACTCTGGAGAGAGGATCTGCATGAACTTAGTGTATTGTCTGTGTTGACAAATGTGACATCTTCCCTTTTGCCAAGCATGTAAAGCAATCAGCAGTTGCATTCATCTCAGCCTATCACTTGATCACTCTTTGATCCCAGGATAGTACTATACAGTAGCAAAATTAATACTGCCAGGTGTGATTACTAACACAGCAATCCAGGATGCGTTGGAAGCTTTAAATTCTGCATAAGCAGCCACACTGCAAATGCTGGGTGGGGAGAACTGACAGACGAGTGCACACACACTGTCTGTTGGGAGCATTCAGAGCACAGCAAGAGCACTCATTGCACCTAAAATGGGGGTTCTGAGCAGATGCAAGATTCATAGTGACAGAAGTAATTTTCAGGTTTTCCTCGAGTAATATATAGGCAGTAGTAAGCCTGTGGCAAGTCCAAATTGAGTACTGAGCAGCTTTTAAATTGTTTAAGGCATTATCTATTATAAGGAAGTTTATAAAGCTCCATCTCCATTATTTGAGTTTTCACTAGGTCATAATCCACTTGACCCTCGTGGTTTATTTCATCACTATTGTCCCTCAGAGGAATTATAACCTTTACCATTACCACTTGCTAAATATATCACGAGGTTTTAGTGATATTGTCATAAATCACCAAGCTCAGCTTTGTTGCTTGTAATGTGACCATAGTACATACTGGTTTTGATGCAGTGATTGTCAGCCTGATCTAGTTGTTGTTCTTTAATTATTTTATAATGGGAGGACCACATACTAGCAGATATGAATGTGTATTTGATTTCCTTTAACATTTAAAAATTGCCATTTTCTAAGGTGGTCTGAACTTCAAGTGCAGGCTTTTTAGGCAAAGTTTCTGCAATCAAACACGGAAAATACAAACTCGTGGATACTGAAATCAAACACAGTGACTTCAAGATCAGCATTCTCACAATTGTTTCTCTTTTCAATTAAATGTGTGAGCACTCATTAGAAATCGTATGTAATTTGATCTTGCTGAAAGCATTTAGTGAGAAGAACAAAGGTATCACACGTAGGCAAAGTTCATTACTATATGGGTTTTTAAAAGGAAAAGCTATAGGGAAGCTGAAGATAACTGAGAATTTTGCATAACAGTAATGCATACAACTATGCTGCTTTTTACATTTCAATCTGTTTTCCAGCAGAAAGTTGGTCCCATGTCAGCCCCCCAAAAGTCTTAAAGAGAATTTGCCGTAGCAAAGATGTGCTACTGAAGCCAATCTTCAGTTGCACTTAAAGATCAGCTTGCATCAGAAGAAGCTGGCCTCAAAACTGTTTTGACAAGACCTACCTTGTTAGGCAGTAATTGGGATCCAGTCAAGCTGCTTCTGACTCCAAGAAGGATTAACCATTACTATAAATCAGGATCCAAAACTTCTTTGCAGCAGCACCTGCAGAAGAAGTCGATCTGTCTGACAGGATATTGTGGGGCAGGTCTGGGCATACAATACCCTGCCTGGTGATGTATGGCTAAACTCCTTGAACCAAAAATCTCTCATCTGATGAAACTGTGGAAATCTGTGTTTGGGGAGGAGGAGGAGTTATCTGTCTTTATTCTTAGACCCTTCCACTGTGGCAAATGGAAGAATA